GTGTGGGAATCGCGCAAAGGGGTGCCCCTGGGTTCTACGATGCAAGGGCTGATTGGAAGATGCCCTAGGGCAGTACGTTCCCTGCAGGGCAGAGCAAGGCCGGTGAGATGTGGCATTTGGGCAGAAGGGAGGGGCTGGAGTGGCCTTGGCTGGGCCTGCACGAGAAAATCACGAATTGGAATAGCAGCTAGAACCAGCGGTGGGGAAAGCCGCTGGGTATGGAGAGTCATCTTCCATTCTCTCCGAACCTGTGTGTTTGCTCCCCTGGCAACATCCTGGGGAAAGGCGCAGACCTAAGAAAGCGAGTGGGGAAGAAGTAAAACATCAGGGTCTTTTTCCCCATCCCCTGTGGGAAAGAGAAACAAGCAGGAGAAGGGCAGACTTCTCAGATCCACGGGGAGGGGGAAAGGGAGGGGGCAGAGCAGAGATCACCTGGCTGAACCCATGTCGAGAACTCTCAACCCTGCCAACTGCATAATATCTAGCCAGGCTTCGGAGGGCATACAGATCAGGCGAGGCCAGCACTGCCTTTTCTTCCTCTGTTGCCTGCTAAGAGCGGTTTGAATGGCCTTGCCCGCCTTGCCTAAGTTTCACCTTCCTGCTCCCTTTATATGGCATTGGGGTGTCAGGTGATTGACAGGCCCCACTGGCCTGTCATAATGGCCTGGAGGGGAGGGAACTAGGAAGCTGAGGACCCAGCGCCCTGCTCCCAGCTTTACGCAGCTGGCTGTAAGTGTGTGTTTACCGTTTACGGTAGTCATGCCGTATTGCAGCGCTGCGCAAGGGAGCCTCAAACTCCGGCTGGCGTCATAGCACAATTCCAACACAGCAGTAGGAGGAGATTGAAGCAAGGCTTTGGGCTTCCTCTTGGACACACCTCACCAGCTGCATCTGCAGACTTCTTCCACCTCCGCTGACTTTACCTCCTGAAAGTTTGATGGGCAGCTGACGGCTGTCTTAATTAAGCATACAATGCCTGTATTTAAAGACGCACTTGGGGCCTGTTCTTCTCCCCCCCCCCACTCCTTTCACGTACCAGCAACTTTCAAACACTTCCTGCTGTGCCTGCCTAGAGGAGGTTTCAAGCCTCATTGGTCTGTGACGTGAGGCGACTCTGGGAACAGGTGGTATTGGGGGCTGGAAAGGGCAGCGGCGGAGAAGCCCGGAGGAAGGTCTGGCATTTGGGAGAGGATCGAATGAGTTCTTCACACGCTGCGGTCTCTTCCAGTCTGTGTCAACATGGTGCCTCACTAGAAATTCTTCCAGAGTGTCAATAAACCCATGACTACGAGAGCAGCTGGTGTGTTTGGGTGTAAACTTTGTCAAGGACCCGAGGGTTTGGATAGGGCCCAAGAGGATGTTACTGATAAATTTGAGTGCTGTAGGAGAAATTGACAGAAGCTGAAGGGGATCTAGAAAACCCCACCCTAAAATAGCACGGGAGACTTTGGAGCAGGCTAGCCAAGGCTTTGGATGTACAGTGGTACCTCGGGTTAAGTAATTTGTTCTGGAGGTCCGTTCTTAACCTGAAGCACCACTTTAGCTAAAGGGGCCTCCTGCTGCTGCCACGCCGCTGGAGCCCAGTTTCTGTTCTTATCCTGAAGCAAAGTTCTTGACCTGAAGCACTATTTCTGGGTTAGCAGAGTGTGTAACCTGAAGCGTATATAAACTGAAGCGTATGTAACCCGAGGTACCACTATATTCTTGAAATACAAGCAGGTGAGCCCGGACTCCTAGGACGGAAAGGTCAATACTACTGAGAAGGTATAACTGAAGCTTAGTGGAGACAACTCCTCTGATCAGATTAGATCAGCTGGAGGATATAACTAATTCAAAAAGTATTGATGTAGCAGAAAAGAGGGGGAGGTGTGTTGTGTTTTTTAAAGTGTACCGCTACAGGGAAAGATGAGCAGGGTAGCCTGTAAAGAGGAACTGGTAAAACAAAATTAGCGAGAAATAAAAGCCACATTGTGGCTTTCACAGCCCACTGAAGCAAGGAAAGGATGGGGATGGTGAAACAAATTACAAGGAAACGTTTCAAGGAAGCAAGACTTTAATTGACTTCAACTGCTCCGATATCTGCTAGGCTTCAAGCTCTACTAACCAGGGAATCGCCCAACAAATTCCTGCCAGACCTTGCTGACAACAACTTCCTCTTCCAGAAGGTGGAGGAATGAATTAGGGGGGTTGACTGTCCTTGATCTGAATTAATATGGAAGAGTTAGTCAACGAGATGCGAGTGGCAGGAAATTTGGGGGGGAAGTGGCCGCAAGTATTGATGGAACTCGTCGTTTTGTGTAAAGCCCAAAGCTAAGGATCAAATGTGTGCCTTGGATTTCGGGAAAGCTGATTTTGTTTTTAACAAGTTCAGGAAAATACGACATAGGATTTGAGTGCCAATGTGGTGTAGTGGTCAGAGTGTCGGACTGGGACCTGGGAGACCAGGCTTCAAATCCTCACTTGGCCATGAGGCTCACTGGGAAACCTTGGGCCTACTTCACAGGGTTGTAAGAACAGGGTTGTTCACCACCTTGAGCTCCTTAGAGGTAAAAGGCGGATACAAATGCAATAAATAAATTCCGCAGCTAGATAGGGACAGGAGTCAAAGTTGGGCGGCATCCTCCGGAGGAGGAGTTACTAAAGGCACAATCTCAAACCATTCCAATGAGAGAGAATGGCGAGGCATTTAAGAAAGCCAGGGTGGCCCCCGCAGCTTAATGAGGAGCTGGAAATAGAGAGCACGTGTTTGAGAAGTGTAAGGAACGACAGGTAACCAAGTAACCAGGTGAAAAACCTAGCCTGTAGGGCCAGTGTCAGGAAAGCTAAAAGCTCGGAACAAGCCGAAACAATGGGAAGAGCAATGGAAAAGGGCTGTTTTCCATGTGCATTTGGAGCAATGGTTCAATTCCTGCTGCTCAGTATGGATGGTGAAAGGTGAACTGTTTTCCCTGTCTTCTCCCTTAAGGGAAACTCTGTCTAATCTTAAATAGAAGAAGCGTGTAATAATTTATGCCAGAAGGGGAAAAACAGTGGCAGGTAGCCCTGCTCTCTTTCATTGGAAGTCCTGCATTTTTATAAAATTGTTAATAAAATTGTTACAGAGTTTAGATAAATTAGGTAAGATTTTTATAGCACCTTTTTGTTTTGTTAAGTTTTAGAATTTTGTGCGGCCTATGTATTTGATGATCTTCTTGTCCCCGATGTGACGGAGCAGGTTTCAAGTCTCCTCTGAACTAAGGTGTGGGTGGGTGTTAATCCTAAAGTGTTTGGGAGAGTTGTACACCTTGTACATGCAGAGTCCCTCTGTGCCTTTGATATCCCGGCTAATGTTTAAAATTCCTCCAGTATACTAGTCCTTTCGAGGTAGCCTGCTTCCAGGAAGTCCTCTGAGACAAGGTTGGAAGAGCTGGGTATATTTAGCATACAGGAGACACTGACGGACACTACAGCGTTCTTCAAATACAGTGGTACCTCGGGTTAAGAACTTAATTTGTTCTGGAGGTCTGTTCTTTACCTGAAACTGTTCTTAACCTGAAGCACCACTTTAGCTAATGGGGCCTCCCGCGCCACCGCCTCACAATTTCTGTTCTCATCCTGAAGCAAAGTTCTTAACCCGAGGTAATATTTCTGGGTTAGCGGAGTCTGTAAACTGAAGCGTCTGTAACCCGAGGTACCACTGTACTTGAAGTGTTGTCGCATAGATAAGGTCAAAACTTGTTCTCTGATGCCTTAATGGGCAAAACTGGATCTCAATGCGATTAAGGTACAGAGGTGTTTTGGTGGAAAACAGAGAAAAACATCTTGCTGGAATAGCAATTTGAACACACACACACACACGCATACGCATACACGCTTCCTAAGATGCTGGGATCTCGACCTGCACTTCGTCAGGTTTCCTGCTATGCATGTTTTTACTCTGCATGTTTTTGATGCTTTTGAATTCTGGTGCTGGAGGAGACTCTTGAGAGTCCCATGGACTGCAAGAAGATCAAACGCATCCATTCTTAAGGAAATCAGCCCTGAGTGCTCACTGGAAGGACAGATCGTGAAGCTGAGGCTCCAGTACTTTGGCCACCTCATGAGAAGAGAAGACTCCCTGGAGAAGACACTGATGCTGGGAAAGATTGAGGGCACAAGGAGAAGGGGGCGACAGAGGACGAGATGGTTGGATAGTGTTCTGGAAGCTACCAGCATGAGTTTGACCAAACTGCGGGAGGCAGTGGAGGACAGAAGTGCCTGGCGTGCTCTGGTCCAGGGGGTCACGAAGAGTCGGACACGACTAAACGACTAAACAACAACAACATGTTTTTACTCAGAAGTCCACCCCACTCGGGTCAGCATGCAGAGGATTGGGAGCCGCAAGCAGGTGCGGAAAAGCTCTCTTTAAAAGAGTAAAAAGCAATTATTATCATTATTTGTTTCGAACATATTCTGAGGATCTCATCTGCGTTGCAATAGGAAAGGATGTTCCGATGCGAATTCCTTGCGTGCATTGTAGCAGAAACGAAGACGTTTAAATCAAATGCGCTTCCTTATCTCATATACTTTTATTTATTTATATTTATGGTGGAGGGAGAATAAGAACAGACAATTAACAGAGCGCTCCACTCCACCCCGTCTCGCCTTCCATAGTACCCTAATGTTGACCTTTGGGGCTGCAGCTCATGGTTTTACAAACCGTAGCGGATGAAAACTAAATGACTCCTGGAGAAAGGGACCCCCCCCAACTTTTAACCCCCCCCCCCGCGATAAAATTCCTCCCCTGCCTGTTCCATCCCTAAATCAGGCAGCCCAGAGCGCCGCGGTGTGTGAGCGTGCGCGCTCTTGCGCTGCGTATTTATGAATGGAGCGGCGGCGCTGCCTTCTCCTCCTCCATCCAGCTCCGTTTCACTTCGGTTTAATCCCGTCGCCAGGCAGCTCCCGCCTCCCGAGCCTCGGATTGGCTTCGTGCGGGCTCCAGCTCCGCCCTCTGTCGGTGACATCGCCGCTGGCTGGAGGGCGAGCGCGCACAGAGCTGGGGAGGAGAAGGCGGAGAGGGGCGCGACGACGGACGCCTTTCCCCCATCTCGGCTGGCGGCGGCGGCGGCGGCGGCGGCGGGGCGCGGAGGACCCGAGGGAGCCGCTGCCGCGCACTCAGCTCGCGAAAGCGGGACAGCCCCGGCGGAACCGCCACCGCAGATCCCTCCATGTAAGTAAGGAGGGCGTCTCGGGACTGCGCCGCCCGGGGACAGATTGGAGACGGATGAATGGGCGGCTGGCGGCGGCGTTGTCTGTCTCCCTGGCTGCAGCCGTGCGTGCGCCTTTCTCTGCCTGCTGCGCCCGCGCGCCTCTACCGCTCCTGAGCATGCATGCTCGCCCGGGCGCGGGTAGGGAGGTCGGCGTGGATCTCGACCTGCACCCCGCCAGATCTGCGCTGTGTGAGCCTTGGCTGCCTGCATTTGCCCGCGCGATTTACTTCTTCTCCTTTTCCTTTTCCTATGGTGAGCTGTCGTTGCGCGTGTGCCTTGCCTGCCACTCACTCCGCAGCACATCATCTCGGCACTTGGCCGTTTCTTTGCACCTGCTTGAGGCTCCCAATCCTCGGCATGCTGGCCCGAGGGGTAGGAGTGTAAACATGCAGAGCAGGATCAGCGTTGTGCAATCCTTCCTCTCTCTCTCTCTCTCCCGCTCCAAAAGGGATCTGCATAATCGCCTGTGCGAATGTGTGTCCGGTGCGTGGAGAGGGTATGAATGGCTCGAACCTGTGTGAATAGGTGCACAGGTGTGCCTGAGTCGCCGCGGCCATTGTCTGCGCAACGCTCTGCACTTCTGCCTGCGTGTGATTGTATATGAACCAAGCACATACTTGCGCACTGTGCATGCCTTGGAGCAGGATGCCATGTCTGGAAGGGCTGCGTAAAAAGTGGCACATGCCTTTCTCTGCCTCTCTGCAGCTGGGGAGGAGAGACACGTTGCCAAATATGCCTGCCTCTGCCCCGGCTCTCCGTCTGCACAATCTTAAAAAAAGATAAATGATGCATGTCTGAGTGAAGAAATGGGCATAGGTCTTGCTCTTCCCTGTGCATTGATGTGCGCTTATCTCCAAGCCAATGTACATGTGTCGAGCCATGGTGATGCTAAGCGTGTGGTTATCATTGTCATCTGCCTGCATCTGTCTGTGATGTTATGCAATTGTTTTGTAGGCATGAACCTGTCTCTTTCGGTAGGTCTATTGTAGTTCTTCCATGTGAAGGTACAAGTGCATATGTGATGCTACCCGTGTGGCTGTCTCTTTGCCCACTTGTTGAATGTATTTGTTTCTGTTGGTGCCTGTTTCCGTGTAGCGGTTGTCTTCATATGGGTGAATTTAGGATCTTTCCAAATGATTCTTTAATGCTCTACCTTTGCAAAGCTCTAACCCATGCATACAGACAGACAGACATAATATATACTGGTATATATCCTTTTAATACCTGTTGTGGAACAAATGGGGGGGCGACACTTGTTGTAAAAGGGAGAGCTGAGAAAGTGGGATTTTTAAAAATTAATATATAAAAAGGACACATACTACCAATAATAAGGGAGGGAAGCCCATTTAGCCTCTTTGGGCAAGCCAGCCTTCTCCATCCAAGTATTGCTTCTTTTTTTAACTCATTTCTTCAAAATTCAAATCACACTGCTTTGGGTGTTTGGTGAAAACAGGATTCTTCCACTTTGTAGCATTATTATGGATAATCTGCTGTAATTGCACACTCATCATGGGCACTGATTGGACTGTGCTGATGTCGTGTTTTCTCCTTATACACACATACACTCCCCCACCATATACCATTTAAAAAACTCCTCTCACCTTCCTTTTCTGGGGGGAAATAATAATTGCGTACCTGAGGTTTTTTTTAAATACCAGCACAGATGATTCATCTAGCGAGATTAAAAAATAATAAGAATCAGGCAGATTTCCAGTTGCTCCATTCCACTCGGTGCTTCCATTCATGGGCAGCCTGTTAGCCACTGCAGCAGCCTCCCTTTCTGCTTCCTCCGGATACAGGCAAACAGCAGGGTGGCACTTTTGCATTGTACCTCCCTGCCGTCACCCCTGTCCACCACACTCCTACCCCTAAAGGGGAACATGCCGTCAGCAATTTCTGCTGCAAACAATTAGCACGAATGCTGCAATTGGTGGGCAAATGGGGCACATGAGGGGGGTGTGTGTGTGTTGGTCTAGAATATTGCATTATCACTGGCTCTGTGTGTATCTGTGTAGATGACCCCTATGCCTGGTTCTGTAGAGGGGTGTGTGCCCATCTGTTTACATCCCCGCGATGATGGCATTTGCCTTGGGTAGCGCTGAGTCTCTTCCTGCCTGCCTCTTCTGCGTACGCAGTGCTCCATTTACCAGATACAAAGGTTTCGATGGAGAGTTTATTGACGTCTCTGGCCTTCCCCTGTGGCTTGGTCTGAAAATACAGGGGGATCTGAAGCCCAAGACGTTGTTGAATTACAACTCCATTTTCACCCCGTTGTCCATGTTTACTGTGGCTCATGGAAGTGCAACAATATCTGGTGGGCCACAGGTTTCACATCCCTGGGATGGGGATGCAGTAGAGTAGCTACAAGGGAAGCAGAGTCTGTAGTTCCATGTTAAAGTCCTTGCATTCTTCAATCCCCTGCAACTCCAGTTCCTTTCTTTTTTTAAATGTCAGGCAGTAGGGTTCTGCCTGAGACCTTACAGAGCGGCTGCCATTCAGAGAAGCCAGGTCCTTGTCTCTTAACCTTGTAGCAACTTGTAGGGTATGAATTGGCAGGCAGCAGCCGTGTTAGTCTGTTGGAGCAATGCGAAACACAGAGTCCTGTGACACCTTCAAGACTGGCACCTTTTCCATCAGATGTCGCTGCCCACCTGCCAGTTCTTCGTATGCCAAGCTATCTTTAGTTGCCTGCAGTGCTGTTTTGCTAGAAAAAGAGGTGCCAGAACTCACCACAAACTCCTCTCTTGTTCTCTTATAGTGACAACCTCGCACCAGCTGAGATGTGCCAGAACTGAGTTCCGGTGAGTTCTGGCCGGAAAAACAAAAAAAAAAAGCCCTGGTTGTCTGGCTTGCCTTGTCTTTCTTACTTTACCTAATGTAAAGCCTGATGAAGCGGACTTTACTCCATGGTCGTTTATACCATAATAAAGCTTGTTAGTCTTTAAATTGCTGCCATACTCTTGGTTAAAGGTAGCATTGGTCAACTGGCAGCCTGAGATCCCAGTTTGTCCCCTCCGGCCCCCTGCAGCAAGATCTCTGACCCAGTGGTGTCTCTTTGCATTCCCTGGGCATGTGTACTGTTTTCTCCTTAACCTCTTCCTCCCCAGAGTGATCAACAGCAAAAAAAAGCGCTCTCTCTCTCTCTCTCTCTCTCTCTCTCTCTCTCTCTCTCACACACACACACACACACACACACACACACACACATATACAGGTTTGATCCAGAGAGTTGCAGGGTTCTCCACTTCTTATGCACTTCAACTGCTCTCTGTTATGTGAAAGCCAAGAGACGTGCAAAACAGTTGTTATTAACTATCGGGCAGAAGGGGAGAACTCTCTTGCCTTTGCCTGTGCCTTGGCTTGGCAGGACCAGGTGATTTAACAAATTACATATCCCCCACCCTATGAGAGCATCCTGGATTTGTCTGCATGCTATTCAGGCTGCCTTCAAGTTGTCTCTGTTTTGCAGGAGGGATTCAAGCTCATACCCAAAACGTAGATTTGTGCAATTAAAGCGAAGTAAACCACTCTTTTAGGGACGCGGGTGGCACTGTGGGTTAAAGCACAGAGTCTAGGACTTGCCGAACAGAAGGTCGGCGGTTCGAATCCCCGCGACAGGGTGAGCTCCCATTGTTCGGTCCCTGCTCCTGCCAACCTAGCAGTTCGAAAGCACGTCAAAGTGCAAGTAGATAAATAGGTATCGCTCTGGCGGGAAGGTAAACGGCGTTTCCGTGTGCTGCTCTGGTTCGCCAGAAGCGGCTTAGTCATGCTGGCCACATGACCCAGAAGCTGTACGCCGGCTCCCTCGGCCAGTAAAGTGAGATGAGCGCCGCAACCCCAAAGTCGGTCATGACTGGACCTAATGGTCAGGGGTCCCTTTACCTTTACCTTTTAAACCACTCTTTCACCCTAGTACAACAAATCCATTTCCCCCAGACTTTTTGCACATGGACACAAGCACACATTGGGAGAGACTGACACATTTCCACTGTGTAATGGGAGTGGAACCAGTATGTTGGTCCTTCAGCACTTGCTCAAGTCAACATGGGACTAATAATAATAATAATAATAATAATTAAAAATATGCTGACCACCGGTGTAGGCTTCAACTCCAGGCAGCTTTGTGAAGAGGAATCTGCAATTATACAACACTGACTCATGAACACCAGACCCTTCCATGTTAAGCTCTGTAGGTGCTGCGCTTGGCTTGCGGTTCAGAGTTGCATTTTGGCACTTAGCTATCTCGGCTGGATGATTCCGCACTTAGGTTGCCTGGGGCATAGTGCTGCTGTTTCTCCTGGTAGGAGGAAGTGTCGTTCGATGGCATCATGTGTCAAATCATCTAAATGCAGGCTGGTGTAAAATGGGCTGTTAATGTTGCCGTTTTTATAACGATAGCCGTGACGCAAATATTTCTGCCCAGGTGGGAGAAACCTGGCTATATAATGAAGAGATGAGGAACAAATCACCCCTGACCATGCTAGCTAGACCTGGTTGGGAGTTGCAGTCCAACAAGAACATGTGGGAAAAAGTCCCGCATCCCTGTTATTAGAGGGCAGAGTGTCCCTTTGGAGTTTGGACAGCATTGGTGTGGGTCTGGGTCTGGCTGGGGAGCAGTTAGAATTGCTGGATTAGACCAATGTCCCATGTAACTAAGCATTCTGTTGTCACAGTAGACAACTAGGTGCCCTTGTGAAGCCACCAAGCAGGACAGGCGTGCAACCACATTATCCCCACTTGTGAACCCCATCTTTGTTATTCAGAGGCATATTGCCTCCAACATAGCAGGTGGCGCTGTGGTCTAAACCACAGAGCCTAGGGCTTGCCGATCAGAAGGTCGGTGGTTCGAATCTCTGCAACGGTGTGAGATCCCATTGCTCAGTCCCTGCTCCTGCCCACCTAGCAGTTCAAAAGCACGTCAAAGTGCAAGTAGATAAATAGGTACCACTCCGGCGGGAAGGTAAACGGTGTTTCCGTGCGCTGCTCAGATTTCGCCAGAAGCAGCTTAGTCATGCTGGCCACATGATGTGGAAAAACTGTCTGCGGACAAACGTCGGCTCCCTCGGCCTATAGAACGAGATGAGCGTGCAACCCCAGAGTCAGCCACGACTGGACCTATCTCTGAGTGGTGTGAGATTCCCGGGGTTCCGGGCGTTCTTATCCAGGGTCTGTGTTTCTTTTTGGGAACAAGGCACAGCGGCATCTGCGGTGTCTTTATGATATGATGCAACCTGATCCTACAGCACAGGGCCTCCCAGCATTGACACTCCAAGAGAGTCTTGCTTCTCCCCTAGTGGTAGCCTTGGATTCAGAAAGACACCAGCTGTGGTTCTTTGCAGCTTGCTGACTTTTACAGAGTGCAACCTTTCCCCCCTAAGCCACCTCACAGCCAGGTCTGAAACTCTGCTTTTGACCTCTGCTTTGGCTTTCCGAATGGCTCGTTACCTTTCCTTTGTCCTTCTTAATGGCTCGTCTCCCAGGCAATTTCCTGCCACGGGAAGCTGTCCTGGCTCATATTGTAATACTTGCTAAATCCAGTGTCTGGCATCCAGTTTCAACACTCCAAGCATTGATTAAATTCTAACATTTACTGAATCCAGGAATTTAGGGTGTCCAGCACTCAAAAACTCATAACAGTATCTTTTGGAAAGTTGTTTGTCTGTGCATTTGCACACCTCTTAAGATATTGTGGCTACATTTGAACATATTTCTTGTACACATCAGTTTCATGCGGATACCTATTTGAACCTTTGGAGGGCTTATATTAACCTATATGTTTAACTAAGGATGGCTGCACTTACGGTTATTGCATGCTTAATGTGAGCTGATGGTTTTTTGTTGTTCATATATTATTTATTTATTTTTCTTCTGCTTCTCTCTCTCTCTCTCTCTGCCCCCCACCCCCAATTTGTTAAATTTTCAAATAACAAAGGGTATCTTAATCAAATTTTCCATGGTGGTTCCTGAGATCAAGGAGCAGTTTTTTGGTCTGGATTTGGATACAGTTGGATACCATTTTGTCCCAAGATGGCAGGCTGAACCTTTCAAAAACTGCACAGCTTTTAACAATCAATTTCAAAACTGCACTGGTTTTGTTTGTTTGTTTGTTTGTTTGTTTGTTAGAATTCCTCAGCACTTCCATCAACGAACATACAGTGGTACTTCGGGTTAAGTACTTAATTTGTTCCGGTGGTCTGTTCTTAACCTAAAACTGTTCTTAACTTGAAGCACCACTTTAGCTAATGGGGCCTCCTGCTGCGCCGCCGGAGCCCGATTTCTGTTCTTATCCTGAAGCAAAGTTCTTAACCTGAAGCACTATTTCTGGGTTAGCGGAGTGTGTAACCTGAAGGGTATGTAACCCGAGGTACCACTGTAGTGGATGCAGCTTCATCAATGAACAGCTGACCTGCTTGCGGGTAGCGTGGAAAGGCAGTGACTCCAATCCTTGAAGTTCACAGACAGTTATATCAGTTTGCGCCGACTACCAGGAGCATGTGGGCACATTTAAAACTAGTGCGCCAGCTCCGCCTGTTCCTGGAGATGTCTGCTCTGGCCATGGTGACAGTTACACCCTGTTTGGATTTATGACACAAGAGAGGGCCTTCTTGGCAACTGCTTTCCGATTGTGCAATGCCCTTCTATGACAGGATAGCCTGGCCCTCTCTCTCTGCTTTCCTTTTGCTGACAGGAAAATACTCTTTCCCCCCCCTTGTTCCAACAGGCCTTTTGGCCACTAATTGTCTGTTGTGGCAGGGTCTTCAGTGTTATACTTTTATTTTTCTTAAGTTATAAGTGTTCTCAGTGCTTTTAAATAGTTACTTATTCAATTGCTTCCTAGTATTCATATTTCTTGCATATGTTCTTAGTTATATCTGTTTTCATTTATGTCGTGAGCTGCCACAGATCCTCTTGCCTCTTTAACACCTGTGTTGTCCACCCAGAACCAGACAACATATTAAAGAAAGACTCGTGGTACAGACCCCCTGAAGTGGTACAGTGGAACCTCGGTTGTCGAACGTAATCCGTTCTGGAAGACCGTTTGACAACTGAGGCTCAATGGGTGGTCGGAAAATTCAGTTGAGAAAATTGAGAAACGTGCCTCGGAAGCCGTTCGACTTCCGAGGTGTGTTTGAAAACAGAAGCAATTACAGTGGTACCTCGGGTTACAGATGCTTCAGGTTACAGACTCCACTAACCCAGAAATAGTACCTCAGGTTAAGAACTTTGCTTCAGGATGAGAACAGAAATTGCACGGCGATGGCAGCGGGAGGCCCCATTCGCTAAAGTGGTGTCTCAGGTTAAAACGGTTTCAGGTTAAGAACGGACCTCCGGAACAAATTAAGTTCTTAACCCGAGGTACCACTGTATTTCCAGGTTTTTGGCGTTCGAAAACTGAAATGTTTGGCTTCCGAGACGCTTGGAAACCAAGGTTCCACTGTACCAGTTCAGAATTGCATGTTTTGAATGCTTCCCTGTGCTTTTAACAAACCTTTCTTTCCCCCTCGTGGAAAGATGACATAGCACAGCCTTCACCAACCTAGTGCCTTACAAGTAGATGTTTTGAACTACCACTCGCATCAACCCCAGCAAGGGTGGGCCAAGAACAGGCCTGCTGGTGTCAGGCCAAGTGGTCCATCTATTCCAGCATCTTGTTCTCACAACCTCTGGGAAGCCAACAAGCAAGACCTGAGCACAAGAGTTACTGTTACTGTCAGTTACTGTTTCCAGCAACTGATATTCAGAGACTCTGACAATTGGAGAAGGATAAAGTAGCGTCACTTTCCCTCTCAATCCCTAACATGCTGACTTTCCCAGGGAGGGAGAGAAGATACGACCTAAACCGGGAAGAGAACAGGGGTACAAAGGTTCTCTTAAAAAAAAAAAAGAGGATGAACATGCTACAGAAATAAGATTTTACTTCCTCCCCCCCCCATGTGCTTCTGCTACAGTGAGCAGAGCTGTTTTCACTTCAGAAAACAGAGCCAAGAGGAACTTCAGGTGGCCTCACATGACTCGGGTGAATGTGGCCTTCCTTTGGAGGAAGGGAACAGCATTACGTAATTCTCTTCTTAAAATGTTTGCGAACGGTAGATCACATCCAGCGTTAAATCATACTTTGAGTAGGCGCTTGGGAATGAGTGGGTATGACTAATTTAGGTCCATTAATTTCAGTAGGTTTCCTCCGAGTACAACGTAGGCTGCATTATCCACTATATTTTTTAGAGCACATTCAAAGCACATTCTTTCCCCTCGAAGAATTATGGGTATTGTAGTTTGTTAAGGGCAGCTGGAATTGTAATTCTGTGAGGGGTAAATGACAGTGCCCAGAATTCTCTGAGGTAAAGAATGGACCTTAAATGTGCTTTTAAGGTATTTGTGTGTACACAGCCTCAGTTGGCTGCAACCCAGTAGATTTTATTGTGTTTTGACTGATAACCCAGAGCTCCTCCAGGCAACATGTTTGTTGAGCATTAATCCTGATTTGCTTGTGTGAAGCAGACATTAGAAAATGCCCAGTCTTTATTGATCTGATTTGTTTGCAGGGAGCCATTTTCACCTTGAATTGCTTGTGCAGCTTCTCATTAATGTCTTTCCCATCACTTTCCTAACAGCAAAAATGGCCAATCTTTAACAAGTGAGTTTATTGCGCCAGAGTCGTGGAACGTTTCAGTCCGCTTCAAGTGCGCAAACCCAAGTGCCTGCTATGCGATGGAAATTCCTCCTTGAAAAGACTGACATTCTGGAGGCAGCCCTTGTCTTCAGCATCAGGCATAAGGAGCAGAAGTGAATCAGCATCAGGCATAAGGAGCAGAAGTGAATCAGAGGCCTTGTCCACACTTCCTCCTCCGCTCCCACCGCTTTCCCTCGGAGAAAGCTGCTCTTTAGCACTCAGTCAGAGCAAATGGCAATTCAGGTTTTCTCCGGATTGACGTTTGCTCCGATTTAGCACTAAATGATGGGTTTTCTGTGGGAAAGGTGCGGGCGGAAGCGGAAAACCACTCAGGGCACAGGGCAAGTGGGAATGTGGATGAGCCCAGAGCAAATCTTTCAAGGGAAATGGACACCCTCCGGCTTAGCCTTTCCGGAAACCTCCAAATGCTGCCCACTTTAAAGTTCATTTGAACACGGTAGCTCACGTCGCAGCACGAAGGCTAGGCCGTAATTCAGCCTTTGCCAACTTAATGTTGGCTGAGGAGAAGTTGCACTCCAAATCATATCTAGAGGGCATCAGGTTGGAGAAGGCTGCTTTGAGGGTGTGGGTGTGTGGTGTGCATGAGTGTGCAAAAGTAGGGGCAAGCCTGGCCCTTTGGGAGATGGAGGTTGAGGCAGAGGAAGGAGCTGTGTTTTCGGTGTTGCAGGAGCTACAGCTGTTGTCATGGCGACAGCTGCAATGTTACCAAACAGGCTTAAAAGCCTGAGCAATATGCTGAAGGGCACAAAAGTGAAGAGGAACTGGGAAGAGGGAGGGCGAGATGAGCTGAAGCAAAAGAAGCCCTTGGGTCTGGCCACTGTACCCCACCTCACCCCACTGCCCCCTCCTTGAAAGACTTTGCCAGGGGGAGCCAATATGCTGCCTCTTTCAAGATGTTGTTGGATTATCAACTCACATCAGCCCAAGAGCCAGCAAGGCCCATAGTCAGTGATGATGAGAACTGGAGTCCAGAGAGATCCAGAGGGAGGGCACTATCTTGCAGACCCTTGGGCTAAGCCTTTGGGGGGTGGGGAGAGACTCTATAACCTGAATTCTGAGGTCCCTCTGTAAATCAGTTAATTTTAAACTGAGCTGCTTCACCAAAGATGATATACCAGCCTTCCTGGACATTGGTGACCTCCTGATGTTTTAGACTACATCAGTCCTGAGCATCAGCAATGGTTCCTGTGGCTGACGGAAAACGGTAGGCCGAAATATCTGGCTGGGGAAGGCTGGGGCACATCTTGGGTTCCGGATCCCAGCTTTGTTGATGCTGAGCAGCTGAACAGTGTGAGAGCCTTCTGCTGGAAGGCGGCAGGTGAACTCTCTTCCTTCATATGCATGGGATGTGCAGAACCAAACTGAATATGTAACACTCCTGCAACACTCAGGTTGGCCCCTGTTTGCTCTCCTCCTAGGCAGTGCTTAGCTCCAGGAAAATTCAATAAACACACGAGACGTAACCGGCTGTGTTCTTCAATAAATAAGGTATACTATTCATGTATCAAATCATAAATTTCAATGGAAGTAACTCGTAAAGTTCAACAAACGAACAAAGCAGAAGACCCAGTGGATCAGATCATTCTCTAGTCAGTTCATTCATAAGGTCTATCTGTGTAATACAGTGGTACCTCGGATTACATACGCTTCAGATTATGTACGCTTCAGGTAACAGACTCCGCTAACCCAGAAATAGTACCTCGGGTTAAGAACTTTGCTTCAGGATGAGAACAGAAATTGTGCTCCGACGGCGTGGCAGCAGCAGGAGGCCCCGTTAGCTAAAGTGGTGCTTCAGGTCAAGAACAGTTTCAGGTTAAGAATGGACCTCCGGAATGAATTAAGTACTTAACCTGAGGTACCACTGTAGTGTCTATTCCACCTGTCTGTTCATAAGGTCCAAACAATCCACACGAAAGGTTGTAGCAGTTCCACAGAATCCTTTCACAGAGTCTAAGACAAGGATTTCCAGAATATTGGCCTTGTTTCACCGTCCTTGGCTTCATCAGTAGTTAAAGCTCATATGTGATATTACAGGACAGTGGATCTTATGGCATAGTAGTAGCTACTACTACTTTGCGGTCCTGTTCTAATGCCGATATCCCTGTTCTTCCTCTCTAGGCCCTGAGTTTGCTCCACCTGCCTGCCCCTCTGCTCTGGGACAGCTGGGCACAGGGCAGCCCAGAGGTTCAGCCCGTTAAGAGCCATGCCCTTGGAAGAGGAGGAGCCCAGTTGGAAGAAACGAGCGGAAGATATCCGGGAGATCTATGAATTCCGGGAGGTGCTGGGCACGTGAGTCGTTGTTCGTTTGTTTATTGCATTTACATCCCACCTTTTTCTCCAAGGTGCCCGTGGTCCGTCCCCCCCCCCATTTAATCCCCACGAGTAGGGATTTGATCCTTGGTCTTCCAGGTCTTAGTCTGGCACCCTAACCACTACACCACACAGCCATGTGGTTATTAGGGATATCTGGGTGAGGGCTCTAAGGCAGGGGATTTACAGTACTTTATTTTCATGAAAACCTCAAGGCCCACCAACTTGAGCCAGGTTCAAAATAGCAGCTTGTTTTCTTCATTTTAGCTTTCTTCATTTTCGGGAAGAGGGTGCCTTTGTTGTTCTTTCTGTTACTAAACAATTGGAAGGACCCTTGTACACCTTCTGCAAATCTCCTAGCAGTAGATGCTGCCAGCTGATGTTCTAAGAGCTTGTTTTCTATCATCACGATTCCAAGGCTGTTAGCCTAAGCTAATTGACCTTGTCTACATGAAACAGGAATTAAAAAATGCTTCAGAGTCACACTGGTTGCCATGGTTTACTGTGGTGGGAGTGAGTTTACCCTCCCCTGGGGCCTCATGCTTCTCCTCTGACACAGCTGCAAGAAGGGGCTTGGAATATTTTGCGTCTGCTTTTTTAATTTTGTTAACCACATCTTGTGCTTAACCTTAACTATGGTTTGTTTGAAAGCAGCCAACTTCAAGCAATAGCTTATGAAGCTGTCTCATTTCACCAAGCCATCGTTAAGATTAGCCACAGTTTAGGGTTCGAGCATAACAGTGACTGTGGTTAATTGAAATTAGAGGCCTCCATTCGTCTTCTCTTGGCTATGCTGGATGAGGAAGAGAGCACATGAAGAGAACAGGGAGTGTTAGGCTCGTTCTTGTCGAGATAAACCATGGCTTATAATGATATCTAAACACAACCACTTCCTTATATTTTGTGCTACACCCATGAGAGATAATAACCCTAGTATTGTTTATCTGATCAGTTTTTGAAAAATGTGTTAAGAGTCCATGAGGCGGCTGCTGCTTATTGATTTCTGCCTTGTGTTCCGCTTGAGCAGCGGAAGCTGGCTGATAGCTCATTTCCTGTTTGGGGACTTCCTGCCATGAGAACAGGGTGCCACACCAGCAGGGACTCCTCTTCGGTTCTTAACTTCTCATGCCCCAGTAGGAGACTGTCTAAAATGTAGGAGCCAGGTGTAGGGTGAGATGCAGGGTCCAGGCTCCATTAGTGGCAAGCGTCTTCTCCCTTGCCCCATCCTAAACTGCTGGGCACACTCCACCTTGAATTTGTACCAAGGCTGGGCCAACAGGTGGCGAATGCGCTTTGGAAACCTGTGGCCTCAAATATTAGCACAGGGCTCAGTCAATATTGACAGGAGACCTGGGCTGCTGCTGAAGTATGTGGCCAGTCAATAGTACCCTATTTTTTATTTTTTTGCAAGGAGGGGTTTTTACCTCAGGTAGCACATGCTCACAGGTACTACCTTAAGGTTTTCAAGGTTTAGGTCTGGCAAGTAGCGAGGGCTCTCTGTTATCTAGGTAGCTATTTTCAGCCTCTCCTTTCTCCAGTACCATTGGAAGCAAAGCAACTCAGCTATCTGTGTGGGTCTTCATGATCAACAGCAGAATAAATGAATGAACTTTTCTGTTGGGCAAGAAACAAAGCGAAAGCCTTTCTCTCTCCCCATCCTGTCCCCCACTTCCTTATATGTGTCCATATTTTCTTCCAACGTGGTTGTGATATAAGGCAAGGATAGAAAGACTTCGTGCTTGAGAAATCTAATTGGGTGTGGGTGTGTTTTATTTATTTAAAAGCCTTTTAAAATTGCTTTACATTATATATTACGTTATATCTATCTATGTCTATATCTATATCTATCTATATCTATATGGATAGATATATGGTGTGTGCTGTGTATGCAGTTGTTGTTGTTGTTTAGTCGTTTAGTCGTGTCCGACTCTTTGTGACCCCATGGACCAGAGCACAGCAGGCACTCCTGTCTTCCACTGCCTCCCGCAGTTTGGTCAGACTCATGCTTCGAGAACACTGTCCAACCATCTCGTCCTCTGTCGTCCCCTTCTCCTTGTGCCCTCCATCTTTCCCAACATCAGGGTCTTTTCCAGGGAGTCTTCTCTTCTCATGAGGTGGCCAAAGTATTGGAGCCTCAGCTTCAGGATCTGTCCTTCCAGTGAGCACTCAGGGCTGATTTCCTTCAGAATGGATGCGTTTGATCTTCTGGCAGTCCATGGGACTCTCAAGAGTCTCCTCCAGCACCATAATTCAAAAGCATCAATTCTTCGGCGATCAGCCTTCTTTATGGTCCAGCTCTCACTTCCAACCACAACTACTGGGAAAACCATAGCTTTAACTATACGGACCTTTGTTGGCAAGGTATGCAGTATGCAGTAAACACATGCAATTTGAATGGCTTTAAAAAAGGAGTAGACAAATTCACTGAAGCCCAAGACTATCAATAGCTACAAGGCACAATCTTCTACTTCCACTGTCAGAGGCAATACGCCTCTGAATACCAGTTGCTTAGGAATTGCGGGTGGGCAGAGTGCTGTTAACCTCATTTGCAGCTTGCAAGCTTCCCATAGGCATCTGGTCAGCCACTGTGAGAACAGGATGCTGTGCTAGATGAGCCATATTAGCCTGATCTGGTAGCCTCTTTTATATTCTCAATATAACAGCAATATCCATTAAAACAGCAATGCAGCATAATCTCAACGAAAGAGTGCAAAAGAATAAAAACAAGTAGAATAGAGATTTGTGCACAAAAATCAGGGTCCAGTCTTATGGGTCAGGGGAAACCCTGGGCAAAAAGGTAAGCCCTTTTATAAAATGTTCAAGGCAACTGGTGTGGTGGTTCATGTAGGGCAGAGGGAAGAACTTCAAGATCTACAAACCAAGGGTGGATGCAGGATGATGGCACAGGGCATCTTCGAATCAAGAGTTAAGGTGCCACAGAGCACACGCTTGGTTCAGGAATTTGCTGTCAGGACCAGAACTGAGATCACTGCGTAGCTCAGTTGGTTAGAGCGTGGTGTTGATAACACCAAGGTCGCAGGTTTGGTCCCCGTATGGGACAGCTACGTATTCCGGCACTGCAGGCAGTTGAACTCAGGGTCCCTTCCAGCTCTACAATTCTATGATTCAATAATAATAATAATAATAATAATAATAATAATAATAATAATAATAAATTTATTATTTGTACCCCGCCCATCTGGCTGGGCTTCCCCAGCCACTCTGGGCGGCTTCCAACAAAGGTTAAAAATACATTAAAATGTCACACATTAAAAACTTCCCTGAACTGCCTTCAGATGTCTTCTAAATGTCAGGTAGTTGTTTATCTCTTTGACATCTGATGGGAGGGCGTTCCACTACCGAGAAGGCCCTCTGCCTGGTTTCCTGTAACTTTGCTTCTCGCAATGAGGGAACCGTCAGAAGGCTTTCGGCACTGGACCTCAGTGTCTGGGTAGAACGATGGGGGTGGACACGCTCCTTCAGGTATACTGGGCCGAGGCCGTTTAAGGATTTAAAGGTCAGCACCAACACTTTGAATTGTGCTCGGAAATGTACTAGGAGCCAGTGTAGGTCTTTCAAGACCAGTGTTATGTGGTCTCGGCGGCCGGCCCCAGTCACCAGTCTAGCTGCCGCATTCTGGATTAGTTGTAGTTTCCGGGTCACCTTCAAAGGTAGCTCCACATAGAGCGCATTGCAGTAGTCCAAGTGAGAGATAACCAGAGCATGCACCACTCTGGCAAGACAGTATGCAGGCAGATCTCAGCCCTTTCTCCCTCTCTCTCTCCACAACCTCCCCCCTTCATAAAGGGCAATGAACCTTATCCCTGTGGTCAAGGACTGTGTTTGACACCTCAGGTGGAGCTACCTGGCAGCAAAGGAGCTCAGACTGGCTGGCTTGCAGAGTAAAAGGAGGCCAGCACCCAGAGACTGGCTAAGACACCTAAGCGGGATTAATGTGTTAATTACAGAAAGGATTAGAAGGTGAGAGCTCTCGCAGAGGTCACCATCGTCCAATCTCTGGAGGAAAACTTCTCTGGTTCCTCACAATCCATGTGGGGTTCTTCTCCTGCAGGCCTCTGTGTGACAAGTCATGCCACCCTCCCTAAGTTACCAGTTTAGATTGCTGCCGCAGACGGGCACCGTGTTTTATCTTGCGTCCATTTTGGTGCCAAATGACACATTCAGGTGTCTATAAGAGGAGGCTCAGTCTGGCCACTTGTGTTTTGAAGGAAAAGTAGCCATGCAGAGTGCCGAAGCAGAATGTGCTCTCTGTCCGGATGGGGTTCCCGCTCCAGTTCCCCATCAAACCTCTCCTTAAGAGGCCATCTTAAGTATCCTTTTTAAAAAGTGTGGTTTGGCCCTTATATGGAATTGGTACAGACTGCCCTTTCTGCTCTGTCAGCTCGGTCAATAGAGCACGAGACTCTTACTCTCAGGGTCATGGGTTCTTGGGCAAAATATTCCTGCATTGCAGGGGTAATAATAATAATAATAATAATAATAATAATAATAATAATAAATAAATAAATAAATAAATAAATAAATAAATAAAATTATTATTTGTACCCCGCCCATCTGGCTGGGTTTACTCAGCCACTCTGGGCGGCTTCCAACAAAGATTAAAAAAACATTAAAATGTCACACATTAAAAACTTCCCTGAACAGGGCTTCCTTTAGATGTCTTCTAAATGTCAGGTAGTTGTTTATCTCTTTGACATCTGATGGGAGGGCGTTCCACAGGGCGGGCGCCACTACCGAGAAGGCCCTCTGCCTGGTTCCCTGTAACCTCACTTCTTGCAGTGAGGGAACTGCCAGAAGGCCCTCGGCGCTGGACCTCAGTGTCTGGGCTGAACGATGGGGGTGGAGACGCTCCTTCAGGTATACTGGGCTGAGGCCATTTAGGTTAGACTAGATGACTCTCGTGGTCCCTTTAACTGTACAATTCTGTGATTCTGCCTCGTGCATTTCAAGGCTGTTTGACTCTAATGTATCACCTACCAACCTCTCTGTATACACATACATAAACACAGAGGAACCTCCTTCATACAAGTCTAGGCCATCTAGCACCATACTGTCAGCACTGACTGGCAGCATCTCTTCAGGGTTTCAGGCAGGAGTCTCTCCCAGCCCTTACCTAGAGACAGTAGGGGCTGATCCCAGGAAATTTTGCATGCAAAGCATCACATGCTCTACCCCTGATCTGCATTCCTAAGCATCCGCACTTGCCAGCTGAGGTCAGCCCTACCCACCACATCTGATGGTGGAATTTAGTCCAGGAAAGCTTCTACCATCCTAAACTTGCAAATCTTTCAGGTGCCACAAAACTCCTGAGCTGCTTTTGCTGCAATGGGCGCTAGCACAACAAATGCTTCAGGGTCACAACCTCCTTTTAGGTAAAGGTAAAGGTAAAGGGACCCCTGACCATTAGGTCCAGTCCTGACCGACTCTGGGGTTGCGGCCCTCATCTCGTTTTATTGGCCGAGGGAGCCGGCGTACAGCTTCCGGGTCATGTGACCAGCATGACTAAGCCGCTTCTGGCAAACCAGAGCAGCGCACGGAAACACAGTTTACCTTCCCGCTGGAGCGGTACCTATTTATCTACTTGCACTTTGACATGCTTTCGAACTGCTAGGTTGGCAGGAGCAGGGACCGAGCAACGGGAGCTCACCCCGTCGCGGGGATTCGAACCGCCGACCTTCTGATCGGCAAGTCCTAGGCTCTGTGGTTTAACCCACAGTGCCACCCGCATCCCTTTCTTGGCTGGTATTCCTGCTCAAATAGCAATAGCCTTGCACAGCGCCACCCGTGTCCTTTTATGTACTTATCCCTAAATCAGATTAGTCAGCTCCTGAATATATTTTAGCAACCCTTTTTTGGGTGTGTGTGTGCAGGGGGTACTCTCAGCCAGGATGGTTTAAAAAGTGGTAAAATGCATGCTTAGGGAGGATTGATAATGCCAAATAATGGCAAGCAAAAACAGTGGCATCAGATTTTTGTTATTTTTGTTAAATTAGCCAAGCTGCGGGGGGCGGGAAGGGTGTTGATTTCTGCTAATAGAGTCTGGAGGAAGTGGGAGTAGCCAGATAGGACAGCAGGTTTCACAAGCCATCATATGAAGTGGCGTAACTTTGTTTTTCATGAGAACATAGGAAGGGTCCCGTTTCCCACAGTGGCCAGTCAGAGGCGCCTAGGAACCTCACAAGCATGGTGCGAGGGCAATGGCCTGCTCTTGAAGATGCTCCTCTAGCAGCTCAGGGAAGGGCCGTAGTTCAGGGGGTGGGACATTTGCTTGTATGCAGAAGGTCCCTTTTTTTTTTTTTTTTTTGTATATACACATTTTTATTAGTTTTTTTAATGTATCATTTCCAACAGTCATATAACATAACTTCTTATCTTATACAATGTTTTGGACTTCCGTCAACACCTCTGATGATTTTTCATTCTTTATCACTTATTCTGCATTTCTTAATTCCTCTATTACTCTTAATTATCATTAACTAATCATTCTTCTCATAGTCTTTCTTGCAATATTTCAAATAGTCCTCCTTTCAAAACTTCTTGCAATCCTACTAGCGTAATCTGTTCGTTACTATTACATTTCAAATAGTTTGTATATTTACTCCAGTCTTCTAAGAATCTCTGGTCCCGCAGGTTTTGAATCCTTCCTGTTAATTTATCTAATTCTGCATAGTCCACAGAAGGTCCCAAATTCAATCCCTGGCCAATACAGGTAAAATAGAGACTTTTGTTTGAAGCGCTGGGGAGCTGCTGCCAGTCTTTGTGTTGAGTTGGATGGGCAAATATGTACGTAACTCGTATCCAGGCCCTCCTCTGATTGTGTGGAGGTAGTAGGTACCTATCATGTGTACCCACTGATAGCCTTATCCTCCTACGAATTTTCCTGGGCCATAAAAAGCAGCTGGCAGGTGGAGATTCTCTGGCGGGGCAGCAGGGCTCACTGGCATATGCCAAGTGGCATATGGTGCCATGGAGGGGATGGGGGCTGCAGGTTGTGAGCTGTGTCTGTCCTCGCAGCAGTGAATTCCTCAGAACCTGCCTCTCCCCATCTCTCCTTGGCTCGGGCCCGAGTGCCGCTTTGTACAGATAACAAACCCTTACCTTCCTGGCCAGAGATGGAGCCCATTCGGCTCTGAAATTGTGCCATTTCCCTGCCCTCTCTTATCCCCTGCCCTAGATGGGGCTGAAAAGCCAAAGGGCTCTAATTGCAAGAACCGGCGATAAGTAGGGAGGGGAATATATAGATAGTGCCCTTTGTTTGCCAGCTTGTGTTCTTATGCTGAAGGTGGCACAGCCAAGGCCAGCCAAGAAAGCAGGATGGTGTGTGTGTGTGTTCATACCTGTGCAGTGGGACACCACCACAGAGATACAGGCTTTAGAAGCTCTCTGCTCAGGTAGAAGGGACCATGCCTCTTGTCTCCAGATCCTGCATCACTCCTTACCAGGAATCTGTGGCAATTCCTCCTATTATAGCCCAATCCTCACCCTCTTGCTGCCCAGATTTCACTGAACTACGACTCCCAGGCAGCATGGACAGTGGCCAGGGTGCCAAGCTATGAATCCCTTTCCCTTTCTAATCCATCTGTAGATCCTGGAGGACTTGGCTAGATTTGCTTTTACACGGATGCAACCTGCGCGGTTCTGCTTTTAAACTCACCCCCTCCCTTGCTGGAACACAGTGTGCCCAGTCTCTGTCTTCTTCCTACCTGGCGCTTCCTCCCCAATTCTTTACCTAGCGCTTCCTCCCTTCCTCCTCTCACCCCTTTCTTCCTGGCACATTCTCTCCTGCCAGCCCGGTTCCATCTCTCACACGCTCTCCTATAAATAGCTGAAATTCTGCAGGTTGCTGTGGTGACAGAGGCTGGGTGAGAGATCCAGCTGGGTGTGATGGGGAGGGCCTGGTGCTCGCAGGATGTCAGGTCAGAAGATGACAGGGGCCTTGCCTGCACACACCCACGCCCCCTCTGTGTTTATGGGTTGGCTTCACCCCATAGCTTTCGCTGTCTGGAGCTCCATCCATGCCGTATTCCTGTGCACGACGTTGAAGTTGCTTCCAAGTTCCTTATTTTGCACGTGGCTTTAAAACACATCTCAGTCAGAAAACGTAAGGAACTAGATGCCCCTGTGTGGCGATCACACAGGGCCCCCCCCGGATGTTTGACGGTCTATTGACCCTGTGCCACCACTGTCATTGCGTTCTTCGCTGCCACCAACCCGTTTCTCCTCACGGGGACACACGGAGTCCAGTCAGTTGGTAACATTAACAAATAATCAAGTTTATTTTATAGGCCTGAACAAGCTTATGGTTTCAGTTAATTTTTCTTGGCAGTTTCTTAATCTTAGTTCCTTAACTGTCTTATTGGTTCCTAACAACTTCAAACTGATCATCCCAACTAACTATCTATCTGACTCCACCTAACAGTTCCTCTCACTCTCTCACCACACAACTTGACCAACCCACAGACTTACCGTATTTTTCGCTCTATAAGACGCACCAGACCTTAAGACGCACCTAGTTTTTGGAGGAGGAAAACAAGAAAAAATATATTCTGAATCTCAGAAGCCAGAACAACACTGCGCAGCAAAAGCAGCGATCCTTCTTGTTGTTCTGGCTTCTGGGATAGCTGCGCAGCCTGCATTCGCTCCATAAGACGCACACACATTTCCCCTTACTTTTTAGGAGGGAAAAAGTGATTCTTATAGAGCAAAAAATACAGTAGATCCTCCCTCTTCCTTCTTCAACTCCCAACTCTCAACTGACTTTCACACAACTCCCCTCTAACCCTAACTCCTCCTATCAGCTTCCACTGGCCAATCACATCACACTCATTTTAACCCTTTCCTTATGACCCACCTAGGAGGTAAACGCCACACCCTGAATTCCGAAATAAGCTTGGGTCTGCTGCATCGTGACGGGGGGGGGGGGGTGACTCTTCAAGATCCGCAGTCATTTCCCCCAGCCAAAACACTTGACTTTATTATTTTTATTTATAAAATTTGTATGCTACAGTGGTACCTCTGGTTGCGAAGGGGATCCGTTCCGGAGGCCCGTTCGCAACATGAAAAGAGCGCAACCTGCAGCGACACATCTGTGCATGCACGGGTTGCGATTTGCCGCTTCTGTGCATGACATCATTTTTGCGCTTCTGCACATGCGCGAGTGGCGAAACCCGGAAGTAACCCTTTCCAGTACTTCCGGGTCGCCGCGGGACATAATCTGAAAGAACGTAACATGAAGCGGACGTAACATGAGGTATGACTGTACCCTTCATCCGAAGATCTCTGGGCGGTACACAGCATAAACGTGTGCTGACCCCGAATGAAAATGATAAATAAGGAAGTGGGCATGTGTACCCCAATAATCACCTTTCGGCCACCCCTGTTGATAGACCCCTGTACCTACAGGAGAGTGTCTTCTATAAAATGGCCTTGAAACCCCCAGGCCCTCTGAACCAAGGGATCTGCATACCTGGCTAAGAATGGGACAGGCCTGCCGGGCTGGGCTGGCCTGTTCCGCCGTCTCATTTCCCTCCCCTTCCCTTCTGTTTTCCAGAGGTGCCTTCTCCGAGGTGGTCCTGGCCGAAGAGAAGTCGACTCAGAAGCTGGTAGCCATCAAGTGCATCGCAAAGAAGGTGTTGGAAGGGAAGGAGAGCAGCATCGAGAATGAGATAGCTGTGCTACACAAGTGAGTGGCGCTCCCTCTTGTCCCCCACCCCTCCCTTTGAGAACAGCCACTGCTGGGTCAAACCAAAAGTCCTCCACTCTGGTCCAGTGACCCCGTCCAACAGTCCCTGGAAGAGGAGCAAGGTGGAAGCAGCCATCCCATCCCTGCTTACCCCCACATACCCAGGGCATGCTTGCGCAGCGTTGAGAACAAAGCAATGGCGCTTGCAATAAGCTACCTGAACTAGTGGGGTGGGGTGATAGACAGAAAGGCAACTTGTTCTTCCTTCTCCTTTATTCCTGTTCTTTTAGTAGCTACATGTTGGTAGACCACATGACTTCCTCGCAGGCTTTGCTTCCTTCCTGCTCCTTCTCCAAGTGTTCATACCAGTGTGAGCTAGCAAGGGCTTATTAAATAGTGGGTGAACATAGCAGACGACACAGAGATTTCTCCAAGTAGTTCTTTATAAGTACAGTGGTACCTCGGGTTACATACGCTTCAGGTTACATACGCTTCAGGTTACAGACTCTGCTAACCCAGAAATAGTGCTTCAGGTTAAGAACTTTGCTTCAGGATGAGAACAGAAATCGTGCTCCGGCGGCAGCAGGAGGCCCCATTAGCTAAAGTGGTGCTTCAGGTTAAGAACAGTTTCAGGTTAAGAACGGACCTCCGGAACGAATTAAGTACTTAACCTGAGGTACCACTGTAAGCTGGAACTGAACTGAACAGCAAACAGCTCAGCCGGCCTGCTTTTATAGGCAGCCGGCTGTCAACATTGTAACAACAACAACCCAGGGTTTCCTGCCTAAATTAACTGACGTGGACCTGAGTGAAAACTATATACACGATACCCCTGGTGGCCAGGGTGAGAAATTCAGTACATAACAGGGTTGGTGTTACCTTCTTGTCTGCAGCTCGGCCACGAGTAAAACCTATGCTTAGAATGGCTTTGTTGGCCATGAGGAATAAACCCAAAGTTTTCTTTATGCTTTCATCCGGCATCCTGGTAATAATAATAATAATAATAATAATAATAATTTATTTATACCCTGCCCTCCCTGGCCAGGGCCGGGCTCAGGGCTGCTAACACCGAATATAAATTACAATAAAATGTAATAGAAAAAACCCCAGAAAAAAACCCAGTTAATTAAAATACGGCTTAAAATACAGCTTAAAATGCAGTCTCATTTTAGTAGTAGCCCATAAATCAAGACCATAAAGGGAGGAAACATCAGATATTCACCCAAGCCAGCAATCTATGCTGGTCCTACATGGGCCAGCAGAAAAGTCAAGGGAAAATTTATATACCAAATCCTATATAAGGGGTCAGAGTGAGTCCAAGCCGAAGGCCAGGCGGAACAGCTCCATCTTGCAGGCCCTGCGGAAAGATGTCAAATCCCACAGGGCTCTGGTCTCTTGTGACAGAGTGTTCCACCAAGTCGGGGCCAGAGCTGAAAAGGCCCTGGCCCTAGTTGAGACCAATCTAACCTCCTTGAGGCTCGGGACCTCCAAAGTGTTGTTATTTACAGTCCTTAAGGTCCTCCTCAGGGCATATACCAGGAGAGGTGGTCCTGTAGGTACGAGGGTCCTAGGCTGCATAGGGCTTTAAAGGTCAAAACCAGCACCTTAAACCTGACCCTGTACTCCACCGGGAGCCAGTGCAACTTGAATCTAAGGAGCTGCCGTAGATGCATGGAAGGGACCACAGCTTATCCGTGTCCCGTTTTCATGTGCCAACACAACACTTTTCATATTTTTGGATGTCATGCACAGCCATGCACAACTCGGGATTTGCTTTGCTCTTGCAAAATGTATATACAGTGGTACCTGAGTTTTTGAATGTAATCCATTCTGGAAGACAGTTCGAGTTTCTGAAACGTCTGAAAACTCAATACAGAAGCCTGAATTCGGAAAACTCAATACGAAAGCCGCGTGGCATGTCGACTTCCGAGGCTTGTTTGAAAACGGAAGCATTTCCTTCCGGCGTTTACGGCATTCGAAAAGCGAAACGTTCGTCAGCGGAGACATTCGAAAACCGAGCTACCACTGTTTGTTCTGCAAAAGCAATGAATGTTGGTGTTGGGCTTGGAATTCAGGATCCCAAATTTTTCCATTAAAAAAAAAAGCAACTTTCCAGCTGTTCTGGCTGCATAGGTAGGGTTGAAAAGGTATAGCTGCTGCCTGCTGAAAATGAAGGAGCCCAGTGAGACTGTGAGCCAAGTTTGTTGGCAAAAAATAAGGTGAGTGCTCATCTGAATATGACCTCAATGGGAGTAATTAATGCTGCTTGCCTTGGTTTGTGTGAGTTCAGCTGCAGAGAGGTCTGCGCATGAATGCGCCCTATGTGCAGGGAATCTCTCCCCTCATACATGTGGCCTGCCAGCCTGATCACGTGTCAACAGCTCTTTGCATCATCTCCATGGGCGCATAATTTCCTACAACTGATATCTGGGCCTGGGATATCAGCCTTTCTGAAAATAGTGCTGGTTGGCACTGCACAGTGTCTCCTTGTGCCCGGAGCATGCCACGTTTTTGTTCCTGTGACTCTCTCATGTCCAGCGAGGGCAACTAATCTATGACCTCTGTCACGAGCACTGGAGAGGGAAATTCAGGAGAAGGGGCTGCCACATCTGGAGTCTCCATTACAGAGTTGGAACCTGCACTTCCCATCCTCTGAGTACAGGGGTGGAGAACCGAGTACAGTAGTACCTCTGGTTAAGAACTTAATTTGTTCTGGAGGTCCGTTCTTAACCTGAAACTGTTCTTAACCTGAGGTACCACTTTAGCTAATGGGGCCTCCCACTGCCGCCACGCCGTTGCTGCTCGATTTCTCTTCTCATCCCGAAGCAAAGTTCTTAACCCGAGGTACTATTTCTGGGTTAGCGGAGTCTGTAACCTGAAGCGTACGTAACCTGAAGCATACGTAACCCAAGGTACCACTGTACCCTCCACACGTGACTGAACTCCACCGCCCATCATCCTTGACCATTTGCCATTCTGGCTGGAGCTGATGGGCATATAATGCAGGGCACGATGCTCGTGAGACCCCCCAGCTATCTGCCATTCTATTATTATATTATACATATACATGAGCACATAAAAATTATATGCAAATTTGTGCCTTAACAACAACCCTGGACCACAGGGTTTCTGGGTCCAAAGCTGTGAGTTCTGGGTGTCAGGTCCAACAAAACGAAGGCAGGTTCTCCCAACCAGCCCAACATCAATGACCATAATGTGGACCATTGAAACTGGGAAGTGGGACGCTCACTCAAAGGAAGTACAGTGGTACCTCGGATTACATACGCTTCAGGTTACATACGCTTCAGGTTACAGACTCCGCTAAGCCAGAAATATTACCTCGGGTTAAGAACTTTGCTTCAGGCTGAGAACAGAAATCGTGCTCCGGCGGCGCGGCGGCAACAACAGGAGGCCCCATTAGCTAAAGTGGTGCTTCAGGTTAAGAACAGTTTCAGGTTAATTACGGAACTCCAGAACGAATTAAGTACTTAACCTGAGGTACCACTGTATTTTCCAGGAACTAGTGAGTGATTTCTCAAGGAACCCGTTTCAATAGTGACTCTTCTGCTTAAGGCAAAAGGGTAGGGAAGAGGTGAGGTTAAAGGAAAGAGCTTCTGTACACATAAAAAGTGACCGTCTGTCTCCTACTAATAAAAATCAGCTCTAGAATATGATCTGGGTGTTAAGGTTACTTCCAGAGTTAGCCTGGAATTGCTACCCTTTGTTCATTCACTTTTTATGGAGGATCCAGATGACATCATTCCCCAATTACTGCAGTCCCATGGCTTACTTTTTTCTTTTCTTCAGACTTGCTTTGTTTTTAAATTCTAGGACAAATATAGTATATAGAGAGCAAAAACTCCAGCAACAGCCTATCCAGTGCTGTTGAGCCTTTTTGGGGTGACTTTAATTCAAAGCTTCCTGCTGATCACTTCTGCTACTATGTTCGCTACTTCCTCTTGAGCACGGCAGTGGGATCACTGATGACTTTCCCTTGTCCTTTAAAGGTAAAGGTAAAGGGACCCTTGACCATTAGGTCCAGTCGTGGCCGACTCTGGGGTTGCGGTGCTCATCTCGCTTTATTGGCCGAGGGAGCCGGCGTACAGCTTCTGGGTCATGTGGCCAGCATGACTAAGCCGCTTCTGGCAAACCAGAGCAGCGCACGGAAACGCCGTTTACCTTCCCGCCAGAGTGGTACCTATTTATCTACTTGCACTTTGGCATGCTTTCGAACTGCTAGGTGGCCAGGAGCAGGGACCTAGCAACGGGAGCTCACCCCGTGTGGGGATTTGAACCGCCGACCTTCTGATCGGCAAGTCCTAGGCTCTGTGGTTTAAGCCACAGTGCCACCCGCACCCCTTTCCTTTAATTGCTGCCTTAATGTTGGCTTCTGCCCCTTTGTCTGTGATGTTGGGAGGCTTCGATTACTGGCTTCCTTTCATTATTTTCCTCTGGGTGGGATTCATCCAAGCTGTTGTGTGCAAGGAAAGAGGTCTGCTTGCACAAGAGGAATCCCTGCCCCTCCTCCCCCTTTGTGCCCGCACACCCCCCCTAAAGCTGCTCTATGGGGAGAACCCTGAGTAGGTTTAGGGATTGTTTGGAATGGAGGGAATTCTCATTGCACTAATGGACCTTGTTCTATGCTTGTAAACCCCACTTACCGCTATGTTGAATTCCACCTCCTCTTTCTTTCTTTTATACCAAATTGCTATACATTATTATTTCAGCAGTGAAGGAGGACGTGGCTCTCCTTTGTCACCAAAAACAATGGCTGCACATTTAAATGGGCAGCTCACCCACAATCCCCTATGAATTTTCATGAGTCTCGCCTCCTATAGGTTCTTCTTGACTACTACCAGTGACATCACAAGTGAGTGACACAGATCGGTACCTTTACAAACTTATTTGTTTTTTAAATCTTTTGAAGCCGAACCACTCATTTTAAGCCCTCTTCAAAACAAAGCTCCACCTAATGCGTGCAAACTGGTCTGCATGGCAACACCCTGTGTTTCTTAAAAAATATAATGCTTCTTTCTTTCTTTCTTTCTTTCTTTCTTTCTTTCTTTCTTTCTTTCTTTCTTTCTTATATATTTAAATAGCTGTTTCTGGCTTGTGTGCTCATTCTTCCCAGTATGTAATATATATACAGTGGTACCTCGGGTTACATACGCTTCAGGTTACCTACGCTTCGGGTTACAGACTCCGCTAACCCAGAAATAGTACCTCGGGTTAAGAACTTTGCTTCAGGATGAGAACAGAAATCGTGCTCCAGTGGCGCAGCAGGAGGCCCCATTAGCTAAAGTGGTGCTTCAGGTTATGAACAGTTTCAGGTTAAGAATGGACCTCTGGAATGAATTAAGTACTTAACCCGAGGTACCACTGTATATAGCATTTATTTGACCCTTCCCATACGTTTCTTCACTCAAGTACTTCACATACATTAGCTCGGGAATTCTTACAACAACCCTGCAATGTAGATTTTGCTATTATTCCCTTATTGTAGCTATGTGTGTGTGTATTTGTGGGGCAGTGGCCTGAGGCTGAGAGCAGTAGTTTGCTTAAGGGCACCTGCTGGGTTCACAGCAGAGGCAAGATTTGATTCTGGGGACTGTTTGTTTCATAGCTCTGTCGCACAGCAACTAGCTTATCGCCGGGACATTATCTCTCTGTTTCTCTCTCTTTTAAAGTAGCTTGTCAGCCTGTTCCTCTCAGGCAGCATGAGGAAACCTCTGTTTGGCCTCCCAATATTGCTGGACTACAACTCCTATCATCCCTGACCATTGGCTGTGCTCTCTGGGACTGGTGGAAGTTGGAGTCCAGCAACATATGGAGAGCCAAAAGTGCCCCATCCAAGTTGTACAGTGGAAACCCTTGGGAGAAAGGATATTGCACAGCTGGTTGTGGCCAACACTAGGAATATAATGGGAGTTGCCACCTGGACCCCCACCCCCTTGGTTTGGAAACGAAGGTACGGGCCACTCCCCACTTGCCTATGTTTTATTTGTGTGCAACTGCATACACCGCCAAGAAATAAATAAATAATCCGTCTCAAACTTGGAAGTGGTGGGAGAGAGCTGGAAAGTTCTTGTGGCTCGCGAGGAGACCCTCCCCAGAGCCCGAAGAGGATGTCAGTGAGCCAAAGGCCAGAAATAATAATAATAATAATAATAATAATAATAATAATAATAATAATAATAATAATAATTTATTATTTATACCCCGCCCATCTGGCTGAGTTTCCCCAGTCACTCTGGGCGGCTCCCAATCAGTGTTAAAAGCAGTACAGCGTTACATATTAAAAACTTCCCTGAACAGGGCTGCCTTAAGATGTCTTCTGAATGTCAGGTAATTATTTATCTCTTTGACATCTGATGGGAGGGCGTTCCACAGGGTGGGCGCCACTACCGAGAAGGCCCTCTGTCTGGTTCCCTGTAGCCTCACTTCTCGCAATGAGGGAACCGCCAGAAGGCCCTCGGCGCTGGATTTCAGTGTCCGGGCTGAACGATGGGGGTGGAGACGCTCCTTCAGGTATACAGGACCGAGGCCGTTTAGGGCTTTAAAGGTCAGCACCAACACTTTGAATCGTGCTCGGAAACGTACTGGGAGCTGTTTAAAATGCTTTTTTAAAAACCACACACACACACACACACACACACACACACACACCACTTATGGGTTCCAAAATGGTGCAGGGAACTTTTGCTGCTACCCTGCTCAACAGCTGTTGGGCAAGAAGCTGTATTGCAGTGGGCTCGGGTGTGCTGTTCCCTTGCCCTTTCTGGCGATCTGGAGGCAAAGGGACTGAATAAAAGAAAAAGAGCATGTAAAAACAGGTGTTTAGAGCCGGCACAGGCAAACTCGGCCCTCCGGGTGCTTTTGCGACTACAATTCCCATCATCCCTGACCACCGGTCCTGTTAGCTAGGGATGATGGGAGTTGTAGTCTCAAAACATCTGGAGGGCCGAGTTTGCCTGTGCCTGGTTTAGAGGATGCTCCCCACATGCTCATATCGCTTATGGGCGGGGCGGGGCAGGGCAGGGTGGAAAGTAACCCCACGCATAAGTTGCCTCTGCCATGGGGTCTGTGAAAATAGGCTTGCCTGACAGAGAAGCTGAGAAAGCAAGCCTTTCAGGCTAAACAAGGCAGAGTGATGATAATCCACGGACCTCTTGCTGAAGGAGCTTCTCTTTCTCTTGCAGGATCAAGCACCCCAATATTGTGGCTCTGGATGACATCTATGAGAGCGGAGGACATCTCTACCTCATCATGCAGCTGTGAGTTGAAGGCTGGGAATTAGAGGAGTCCCAGCTACGGCCGGCCGGGGAGGGGGGGTGAGCCTCTTGGCACAGCCTGGCAGCATTGGTGGAGCTTGTGGGCAGAGCTGACCCTGACCACCCTCTTCCTGAAGGGGTCTCTTTAGGAAAGCAGGACTCACCTGTGTTTTGGCTCCCCAATGTAGGGTCTCAGGCGGGGAGCTCTTTGACAGGATTGTGGAGAAGGGGTTTTACACGGAGCGAGATGCCAGCCAGCTCATCCGGCAGATCCTTGACGCTGTCAAATACCTGCATGACATGGGCATCGTACACCGCGACCTCAAGGTAGGGGCATGTACCTGTGTGGGGATTTCTGTCGTAGCCGCCTCGGGGTTAAGATGTGCGTTTGCACAACTGTCTGTTTGCTGAAGGCCGGACTAGACAAGTCATCCTATTAGCAGTTGCTTGGGTGGCCTTTCCAAAATAAAAATAGCTGGCAATTTCCCTCTGCTGCAGTCCTTGGACTAGGACCTTGCTATGGCATAGTTTGGGGGCTTTAATCCTTTGTCTCTTGCTGCTGCTCCAATTCGGATTGGGGGGCCCATGCCCCGCTCTCCACGAGTTGGAAGGAAAGCTTCTGTTTGCCTCCTCCCATCCCATGCCCAGTCTGGACTGGGACCACAGCAGGAGGCAAAGGCCCCCTTAAAGGTAAAGGGACCCCTGACCATTAGGTCCAGTCGTAACTGACTCTGGGGTTGCAGCGCTCATCTCGCTTTATTGGTCGAGGGAGCCAGCGTATAGCTTCCGGGTCATGTGGCCACATGACTAAGCTGCTTCTGGCAAACCAGAGCAGCGCATGGAAACGCTGTTTACCTTCCCGCTGGAGCGTTACCTATTTATCTACTTGCACTTTGATGTGCTTTTGAACTGCTAGGTTGGCAGGAGCAGGGAGCGAGCAACGGGAGCTCACCCCGTCACGGGGATTCGAACTATCAACCTTCTGATCGGCAAGTCATAGACTCTGTTGTTTAACCCACAGTGCCACCCGCATCCGAAAGCTGCAGCCCAAGATAGGAGGCACCCCATGCCTGCTATTCATTTGCTAGTTGGGGTGAATAGTATCTTGACTAGTCTGGTCCCTAATCTGCTGTAGGTACCTTAAACTAGAAATACGGCTTTTGTATTTACCAGTCAAGTATTAAGAGCTTACTTCCTCCATTGTCTTGTGGTTTAAGACCTAAGCAACATGTTACACCAGTAGTTTTTCATTAGATCTCTTTCCTGTCCCTTGAAAGCAGCCTTGGAGGGAAGGGGTGGTAAAACTGAATTGGGGCTGCAATGAAGAGGGGGGAGAATATAGCCTTCTTCCCCACCGCCATTCATTGATGCAAATCATTCCTTCTCCCCACAAAGTTCTCATAGCTGTGGAGGGGCAAGTGGACATTCATTTATTGCGCCTGTCTGCATTTCACCCTGTGAGCCTCTTCTTATTCTGCAGATTTTAGGGCGGTTAAACATGATCTTGCTTTCAATACTGTTATTACCTGCCTGTAAACATTTTGGGGCAGACATAACACTTCATTTCCTGTCGGCGTGTGTCCTGTAACGTCCTGCTGATATCCTGTAACTTCTTATGCCACAAATTTCCTGGGCTTTATTCTTTCCCTCTTTTCTTGCCCCATAGCACAGGATTGCCCCTCCAGATGGCAATAGCGTGGTAATGCCAGGGAAGCGTTGCATAACAATTTACAAAGCAGGATGATGTGTGGATGGTCCGGTATAAATCCACTGGAAGTACACTGTTATTTTGTCAGTGACACATTTCAGAATACAACACCCCACAACACACACACACACACACACGCACACAGTCTGGGCCCTGTGTTCAAGAGCAACTTCAGGAAGCTATGTGGAAAGAGTGATTTTTGTACCAGAGAATTGTTGTGGGAAGGTGGGGTTAAACTCTCAATGTCTGCTGAGAAAAACACTAGGAGAGTCCACTATACTCTCACAACATGTTGATTTTGTCCCTTAAAGAAGTTCTGATTCTGGGATAACTGGTCCCGTAGTCGTGGTGGAAATGGTTCTGTGCCCTTAAAGTTGAGGACAGGATACAAGTCGATAATCAACATGCAGAGACAATGGAGAGCCGTTCAAGTAGTCAAAAATAGCATAGGAACAATCCCAAAGGAAAAAGACTTACATAAAAATGAGAATTCTTCTTTAGGTCAGTTCTGAACGCCTCAAATTGAAGGTGGGTGAGTTAAGAGTGTGCCGTGTTAAAAAGAGAACAGGACACAGTGGGAATATTAGAAACAATTGGATACTTATAATCCATGGATTTTAAATCTGTAGAAAGAATTCTGTGGGAAGGGAGTGCAGGGTGTGGTGGTTTTCCAAGTCAAAGGAGGACCTTCTTGGGAACAGTGACCACAACACCATCAAATTCAATATATGAGTGGGAAATTGCCTAGAAAGTGCAACACAGGCACATTTAATTTGGGGCCTGGGCATCTATAGCAGCCCAATGATTTAGGCTGGCACTGTTTTGAACGAAACTCTGCCAATAGTTGATTGCTCTTTTGGATATGTTTTGATTTCCCTGTGAGCTTGGCAACCGTGTGCTTACATATGTACATAACATACTGCTGTTCGCCTAATTTTATTTTACGGAATGGACGGCACAGTTTCGCTTCATGTTTTCTTCTAGAAGTGGGGTCACAAACACGGTTCGTGGCTCAATTGAGGAAGTCTCCTTCCTGACCTTTCTTGCTCTTTGGCCTTTTGAGGCTGAACCACCATATGTTGTTGCTAGCTCCAGCTATGAAAAATACAAATCGGGATGTTGTTGCTGCTAGCGAGCGGGCGGGCGGGGAGGAGAGAATGGCTCTTTTCACCTCGGCTGGCTCAGGACAAAGAGAGAACAATTCTTCCCAGTATAGCACTCCTTGGATCATTCAGCGAAAGAGGGAAGAGCAACAAGTTTGGTGGCTGTTCATCTCTGTGCTCCAGCACCTTGCTGTAGTCTGTCCTACACTCTGCCTAATGGTAGGGCAGGCCCTGTGGAGAATTCTAGGGTGCGTGCTCAGTTCTTGCAGTATGCCTGTCTGGGCCTCATTGAAGCCCCAAATGAACTGTGCATTAGAACACCATCTGTACTGCCCAATGGCTGCATGGTGTCACAAGGGAAGGCTAGCAGTGCCCAACAAGCCAACTTTCATGGAAGCTGCTTTGCCATTACTGATCTCATTTAGTATCCTCTCCTAGTCCTCTGCCAGTCTGTGCAGCAGATTTTGACCAATTGCCTTATTGCAAACTTTCCAGTTTTGCACGTTTCTGTGTCTTGGGAAAATGGATGGGCTGCTTTTTTCCTGTAGTAAGACGGAGCTGTTCCGCCTGGCCTTTGGTTTGGAATCAGTCTGACCCTTATGTTTCCCTCCCCTTATGGTTTTGATTTATGAGCTACTTTTAAAACGAGGCTGCATTTTAAATGGCATTTTAACCTGTATTTTAAATTGTGTTTTTTCCCCCCCTAGTATGTTTTTACTGTAATTTTACTGGTGTTGGCCGCCCTGAGCCCGGCTCTGGCTGGGGAGTGTGGGGTATAAATATTATTATTATTATTATTATTATTATTATTATTATTATTATGTGCATGCTATTGATGATAGATGGGACGCGGGTGGCGCTGTGGGTAAAAGCCTCAGCGCCTAGGGCTTGCCGATTGAAAGGTCGGCGGTTCGAATCCCCGCGGCGGGGTGTGCTCCCGTTGCTCGGTCCCAGCACCTGCCAACCTAGCAGTTCGAAAGCACCCCCGGGTGCAAGTAGATAAATAGGGACCGCTTACTGGCGGGAAGGTAAACGGCGTTTCTGTGTGCTGCGCTGGCTCGCCAGATGCAGCTTTGTCACGCTGGCCACGTGACCCGGAAGTGTCTCCGGACAGCGCTGGCCCTTGGCCTATTGAGTGAGATGGGCGCACAACCCTAGAGTCCGTCAAGACTGGCCCGTACGGGCAGGGGCACCTTTACCTTTTATTGATGATAGAACTTTGAAAGCTTGCTGTCAGGGAACTGCCATCGGAGGAACCGGTGGTGGAAGGGCTCACGCAGGCTGGGAGGGACTCAGCAGCTGAAGCAGGAACCAGCAGAGGGAGAGGTGGGTCTCTGGTGGAAGGGCTCACGCAGGCTGAAAGAGACTCAGCAGCTGAAGCAGGAACTAGCAAGGGGAGAGGTGGATCTCTGAGGGAAAGCGAGCAGGAGGGAGGGCTCAGGGACACGTCCAGCGAGAACAGTGGGGAGGTATCTGAAGCTCCCATAGGGAGACCCACTCCTCGCCGGAAACTGTCACGCCGTGAGTCCAGAAGACGTGTTTCCGTTAAGGAGCTTTTATGCTGGAAACGATTCCGAAAGCAACCACTGTCGGAATCTGCAAGTGACTAGAGCAGCCATGTCTGAGGGGCTCTGTCACAGACAGAAGTTTGTGGGCTTGAACAAACTCTGAGGGACTGCGAATTTACGCACAAGCAGCTCATTATCCCATCACAGCATTCCGACAGTCTTTGTAAGCTGTTTGTGCAGGAGAAGGCATCATGAGCGAACCAGCCGGAACCGGGCAAGCAGGAGTTGGAGCAGGGCCAAGCCTGGAGGAAAGCTACCGGGCGTTGGAGATCCAGCTAGCGCTGCAGACGGCAAGGCTTGAGGAGAGAAGGGCTCAGGATGCAGACAAAAGGGGAAAAGCCACCCAGTTCCCCAGAAAGGTACCAGGATTGGTGCAGAAGTTTGGTGGGGACCCCAAGGACTACCATGCCTTTAGAACAGAGATGCAATATGCCCTCAATGTGCAGTTTGATGAATTCCCTGACTTGGAATCGCGAGTGGCTTTCGTGATTGGGCATCTAGAAAAGGGAGCGCGGGATTGGGTGAGACCCATGATGGCAACGAATAGTGCCGTCCTAAAGGACACAATGAAGTTCTTTCGTGCCATGGATCTGATGTTTTCCAGCGATATTGAGCAGGGAGTGGTGCGCAGGCAGCTAATGGCTTGCAAACAGGGGAGCCGATCTGTCCGTGAGTACTGGACTGATTTCAGCATGCTGGTTCACAGATTGGGGTGGGACTTATCGGCGGAACCCATTCAGATGCTATTTGAAGAAGGTCTGGCTTCGGTTGTGAAAGATGAACTGGCCAGGGGTCCCAGGGTGGATTCTATGGATCAGCTGAGTAAATCTGCGCTGACCATAGGAGCGCGCCAGGAGGCGAGAGCTTTGGAGAGGCGGGAAGGGAAGGGGGAACGTTGGAAGGAGTTCCGCATTCCAGACATTCCAGAGACAACTTTCCCGCCGGCAG